TTTTTGCGACGATGATGATATTCAGGACGAAATCTGAGGACAGATTCAATTGTCAGAACGGCCGAGTGTAAGAATAAATTTATTTCGTAAATTTTTATAGCGCACAAATATAGGTAAGATTGAAGAGATTATAAAAGTGTTTTCTTAACCGACTATTTGCTTAAGACAAATACTGTCAGTATAAGCGATAAATAAACAAAACATTGTAAGTCGACCTGTGTATTTTGCGAAAAGACGAACTTGAAAATAAACTGTACGATTAACCTGGCGAGCTCGAGAAAACAAAGAGATGATCTAGGTTCGAGACGAATTCAAAGGCGCGAACGGAAAGATATAAATAAACCGGAAAACAGTCAGACGACACAGTTCTCGCACGATTTTCATGCCAGTAACATTAAATTAAATAATTACTTCAAGTACACAAGAGAGTCTTTATTTCGATTGCTTCATCTCTACATTATCAAGAGACACGGTAGTGTCTCGCGACCAGTTAAGGGCGTAGCGGAGACACCGTGTATCTTAACGCGAGTCGGACATTTGAGTCTTTATAATATTTCGAATCCTCAATAATGGCTGAAGCAATCGAGTTTATACTAGACTTAATCGATAGATTGAGTTCGAATTATATAATAAAAGTGTCTTTATTTCTGCTCTACGTGATTTGTAAGCAGAGATATATAAATGCAAAGTCGAAATATGAAAAATTTCTATTAAGAAACGTCCCCGTCATCATTATCATCATTATCATCATTATCATCATCATTATCATCATCGACCACGCATACATAGTAGTATCGTGCTACACGTATTCACACGTATACAACACATGCGCACACATATATCACACGTACACAACACATGCAAGATGCATGTAGTGGTAATTTTGTCCATCTCGCACGTTTTACAACAGATGGCGATAGTGGCGCTCCGCCATATCGGCAGCGTGCGGGGTTATGTTGGCTAACTCTCTCTCTCTCTCTCTCTCTCTCTCTCTCTCTCTCACACACACGCACACACACACACACTCTCTCATTCTCACTCACTCACTCACTGTTCGTTTTGTGTACTTATTTAGTACATTCATGATCGGCAGCGTGCGGGGTTATGTTGGCTAACTCTCTCTCTCTCTCTCTCTCTCTCTCTCTCTCTCTCTCTTTCTCACACACACACGCACACACACACACTCTCTCATTCTCACTCACTCACTCACTGTTCGTCTTGTGTACTTATTTAGTACATTCATGATTAAACATCTATATGCATTAATGTGAAATTTACTTACAATTAGTTTACTTGAAATATTCAATCTCTAAAGTGTTTATCTTATAAGATAGACAAAAAAATCTGAGTAAATAATAAGAAAAAAAACAAGGATTATTATTGTCATAATTTTTTATCAATTAAGTACTCTCAACTATCCAATAATTAAATAAATACGTACAAATGTGCGCGCGTGTACACACATACACATATTGATATTAAAGAGATTGAAGGAGAGGAAGGAGAAGATAAAAATTTAAATATTCACATATATTTTCAAATATTATATATGAATTTATAGTTTACATATCTAATTAATAATGAATTTCTAATTATATTAAACATATCAAAATAAAGACATACATGTATTTATCAAATGAATAAAATTATTGAATACAGACTTAAAAAATTTATTAAACATAGACTTAAAAAATTAATTAATTAAACATATTCCAAATTTAGAAAAAATAAACTTTATTTATATATGCAACAGCTTTTTAAACTAAATTTTTAAATTCTATTTTATATTAGACAATTATCTCAATCAACATCTACGTCCACATTAGCTGCACTGCAGACTACCTCTACAGCCACATTATCTGCTCCGCGGATATAGCGTTATGCCAATACGATACATTACATGTACTTACTTACTTGCCTTTACTGTACCAACTCTTGTTCTTTCCACGTAATCATGTTTTTACAGTTATCGTTTGCTGTATATCTTCCAGCAAACTTTATTTCGTGTGAAGTGTATTTAATTAATTAAATCTCTGCGAAAGATTGAGAAGATGAAGGGATAATTCAAACTATGAAGACATGGTTACATGGAAAAGACAAGAGTTGATACAATAATAAAGACATACATGTATTTGTATCCTGCTGGCATAAGGTTATAGAAGTTGATTGAGATTGAAAAATAATAATGAAAATAATAAAAAAAATAAAGACACATGTATTTGTATCGTGCTGGCATAAAGTTATAAAAGTTGATTGAGATTGAAAAATAATAATAAAAATAATTAAAAAAAGGAAATATTCAATCATCATTTAAAAGCATATTTGAAATCTGTAGAATAAACAGTTTTTGCAAAAAATGTGGAGCATTTGAGCTCTAGTAAGTCTAAAAATAAATGTAAACATCAATTAATAATAACTGATGTTATATATATATATATATATAAACCAATTTGTTGCAATATTCACTATAAAAGGTTGTAAGGGTAAGATGGCTAAAAGTGAATAATTTAAAAGATAGTTAACATAATTTTACATAAACTGAAATATTTCATAAAATAAAATATTTGTAATATTTCGAAGTTTATGTAAGATTATGTAAAAATTATACCTTTACAACTTTTTATAGTAAATATTGCGAGGAATCGATTTATATGAGAAAAATTAAGGTAATTCTATTTTGAAAATATAAGTGACCTTTAAATAACCTTGAAAATCGCCGTTTAGGAAAAAGTCTGTGTCAACTTTTTCTTTTTCGAAATCCTGCAACTTTTATCTAAATTTAATAGAAAATGTATAAAAAATGCTCGACATTAGTACACACACACACACACACACACACACACATATGGGTAAATTTATATAAATAGGGTGCTTTAGGAGGAATGATCAGGATTCTAGGATATGATTGTACACATCATTTTAAGCAAAGAAGTTTAGATAAACATGTTTAATAATTGTTCTATTCCGGTCATAAAAATATACAAAAATGAATGATATAATCTCTAAAAACTCACCTTTAAAAAAAGGTAAAAAAAGGCGACCAGTTAAGGGCACGCCATTAACAAAAATTATCCATTGCAAACCCATGTAGAATCCTATCCTATTGCAAACCCATGTAGAATCCTATGAAAAATTAATCATTGCAAACCCATGTAGAATCCTAGGCAAAATTAACCATTGCAAACCCATGTAGAATCGTACCCATTGCAAACCTATGTAGAATCCTATGAAAAATTAACCATTGCAAACTCATGTAGAATCCTATGAAAAATTAACCATTGCAAACCCATGTAGAATTGTATTAAAAATTATCCATTGCAAACTTATGTAGAATCCTACATTGCAAACCCATGTACAATAGAATTGTATGAAAAATTATCGATTATAAACCCATGTACAATCGTAACAAAAGTAATGAAATAAAAAAAAAATTGCGCCAAGTGAAAGTAGAAACTTGTACCAGTGGAAAATTAAAGTTGCAGACATATATAGAGTCGTATAATGAATCAGTAAAAATTTAAATTTGCAAATGTAGAATCGTACCATAAAAAAACTTATCTTTTAAAAAAAAAGATAAACAAGATGCCAAGTCCATGCGCCATGTGAAAAAGAAATAAAAAAATTTTAGTTAAAAAAACTGGGAGCGCTGCTAAATAATATTCTAACAATATTAAAATTAAATTGTTACTTTTAAACTCATTACAGTTAAAATATGTTTTGTGTTTAAATTAATTAATGTTACTTTAAGGTGCATTGTAATTTTGAAACTTAGCAGCGCGCCCAGTTTTTTTAACTAAAATTTTTTATTTCTTTTTCACATGGCGCATGGACTTGGCATCTTGTTTATCTTTTTTTTAAAAGATAAGTTTTTTTATGGTACGATTCTACATTTGCAAATTTAAATTTTTACTGATTCATTATACGACTCTATATATGTCTGCAACTTTAATTTTCCACTGGTACAAGTTTCTACTTTCACTTGGCGCAATTTTTTTTTTATTTCATTACTTTTGTTACGATTGTACATGGGTTTATAATCGATAATTTTTCATACAATTCTATTGTACATGGGTTTGCAATGTAGGATTCTACATAAGTTTGCAATGGATAATTTTTAATACAATTCTACATGGGTTTGCAATGGTTAATTTTTCATAGGATTCTACATGAGTTTGCAATGGTTAATTTTTCATAGGATTCTACATAGGTTTGCAATGGGTACGATTCTACATGGGTTTGCAATGGTTAATTTTGCCTAGGATTCTACATGGGTTTGCAATGATTAATTTTTCATAGGATTCTACATGGGTTTGTAATATTTATATACATCGACACACACACACACACACACACACGAGCGCGCGCGCGTGATTACATGTACATATATACCATAGATAATAACAAATTTAATAATACATATAAACATAAATATGTTAGCTGTAAATTTTTATAATATTTAAATAATAATTTGTTATATACACACATATATATATATTTAAATATATATATATATATATATATATATATATATATATATATACATATATGTATTTTTGTGTGTATGTGTGTGCGTAAACATATAATTTTATTAAATTAAAAACAAAACAATATATAATTCAAAATATTTAGATAATATATTTAGGTGCATTTATCATTTAACAAGCATTATTATATATTCATATTATTTATATATTTATATATTTATATTATTATATTATATCTAACGGTAAAATTTATTGTAATATTACATGGCTACTTTCTTGTGACAACACAGGTAATAATATATCGTTGAACATATAAGTTCGCAAAAAAAAAAAAAAAATGAAAAATTTTTTATTAATTAAGTCACGAAGTTTAGTAAATACAGAGGCATCGAATAGTAATACATTTAAATAAACAATAATAGTTAAAGCAGTAAAATAAATAATACATACAATAGAAAAAAATTATTCATATAAAGTATATCCATGCATGCAAAGCTGCAATTTTTTTAATTTCACATCAAGACTGACGATGATAATATAATTAAAAATTATTTAAACATTAAGAAAAACCTAAGATACTGTCTCTGTCTTTCGATTTGACTTTTGCGAATTGATATCTTGCTTTCAGCTTTGTCAGAATTCAGCATTATGGAATCCTAATAGATATAAACAAAAATTTGCACAATAAAATCAATATACTGTTTATATAATAAACAAAACAAATATAAAATTAATACGCAAAAGTTAATAAGCAAGATAGAACAATATTTATTTTTCTTTCAATTTTCATAATAATATTTATTAAATTTACCATTTCTCTTATTTCATCAAATAATGTCTTTGCATAGACCTTAAAAAATTTAACGTGTTCGTTTATTTCCTAAAATGTATTATTTTTTAACATTATTATAACATTATAAATATTATTTAAACATTATAATTAAATAATAATTATTAACATTGCATTATTATTACATTTTGTATACATATATAAATATGTAAAATTTTTACCTGAATTAGTTTTACGGAATATACGTTATTAATAATAATAATTAATGCTGCAGTTATATCAACATGTCTAAAAACAAAAAAACAAATGTATATATAAAACACAATAAATTTTTGTACAAAATATTTATAAAAATATGTCACATTACTTTGGTCTTATGTTCAACAAATTATCTAATATGTACGGCAGAATAGTTAAATTCTTCGAATGCTTCGTAATAATATATAAGAAACTATTAAGAAAATATTGACTTTCTTTTTTGCTAATAGATTGATATCTTAAATAGTTTTTAATCATATTATCATCTTTAGTGCAAGCCAAGTATTCTAAAAATTTAGTGTCAGATTTGTTTAATCCTATATTGTACACAGATTGCCAAGTCTCGTTCGTGGCTATCATCAAACCTTTACAATATGTCCATTCTTTCCACCATGGCAAAAGTCTAAAACATAGTAAAAAATTAAATTTTTTAATTGAAGATTAGCATACGGATCTTTTGATCAAATCATTTGAACATTATAGGCGATACAAGAGAATTTGATTAAGAAAGGCTAAAAAAATATATACATATCGAAATATTTACTTGTGTTTTGTAGGATCTAGGAGATGATGTTCTAATTTTCTGTTGGCTACTTCCTTACAATTGAGGTCATCGAGAAAACATGCCCATCTTGCAGCTTCTTGTCGTAAACATATTCTAAGTTGGTCTCTATCATCAATTTCTTCATATTTGATTCTTTCAAGTAGCGCGCGTAAAATGTATCTTACTCTCGTCTAAAAATTGTTAAATATACATTTATTTGTTCATATTATAAATGTATTTAAAAATTATTATATTTTTTTAATTATTTTCCAATAGATTCTTAAAATTTTCTCTTTCTAGGAAACAAACATACATACAAATTCACTTAAGCCAAAGACGCTAACGTTTATCTATTCACGTACATATACATATACGTGCAAATATATATATGTATTATACATGTACGCAAAAATATGGTTTAATTTGTGCAAAATATTTATAATATTTAATAGATATTAAAGTTTCATAACTATTTATTAATCATATTTTATTTTTAAATAAGATATAAAATTAATATATCGTTTTAAAATATATATAATTAAATTTTTCCAACTCAATATATATGTTTAATTTTTTTTAATTACTAACATGTAAAATTGATGTAAAGCCAATATAATTGCATTCATTGACAAAGATTAAGCACCTTACTACATATCGATAACAATGTTATATATAATAATATGTAGAGTAGTGAAAATCATAGACTTTTTGGACAGTTCTTCGAGTGATTATTCAAGTCATTATTCAAACTAAATTTGTTTGCACATTTGTTTGCGACGTAATAGTATGTAAAATCTTATCGTTGCTGGAAATATGTTTCTAAGTATTTAAATTATTTGTGATCAATGAGTGTATATGCAAATATTTAAAATGTAATTATTTGAGATCTGAGAGTTGTGACGGTTAAACGTTCTGTTTTGTCTTCAGTAAAAAACTTTGTTAAAAAGACGTCGAATCTGATACTTAAAACTGTTGTAAAATTATCACCAATTTGTTTGAATTTCAATTTAATGTTTAACAACATTTCATCATGAGGATTCAATCAAAATATCTTCCTTGACCAGTAAATCAGGAAGTCTATACTCATAAGTGATTGCATGGTACGGTCGCTCGAACTCAGTATGTATCAGTAATGGTGGTTGTCATACACGATGACTTGTTTAGCAACATATGTAACGAGACAAAAAACTGACTTTTTATATATTTATTATCTTGACATTGTTAATTACCCGTCTATAATGTTTTAATATTACAATTCAATTTATATTAAAATATTTGTATTGCGCTGAAAGAAGGCTTGAAATGTCAGCCGAAACGTTCGCATAAATGTTTATTTCTAATGTATTTATTATTTCGTTTAAATGAATTTTATTAATATCATCTGACAACTGTATTATGTTTAATAGCTCTTATAGCCCTTTTTTGTTTACAATTATTAAGCTTAAAAGAGCTAATTATTATTTTTATTTAAAATGTAATATTTTCATTGAAATTTATTAATATTTACCGTAATATATCCCTCCATGTTTTTCCATGCACGATGAGTACCATATACGTATTCCATAGCTTTAAACATAGGATACCATGCCACATAATCTTCTTCTCGATGCAAATACCTTATGAGATCCCAGAATATATGGGATTGGAGTTGGCCTGCTATTATTAAATGAAATGCATCATCGATTATTTGGGCACGATTAAGAACATGAATTTTCGTGTAATTATCTGATTTTAAATAACTTGAAATTCTTCGCCAATTCTCATCATCATAGTTAACGCGATAATATCCTGTCAAATAGTAAAAAAATTTTATCAATTTTTATTGTTTTGAATAATTTTATCAGAATACATTTTCAAATATTTTTGTTTTATAATTTTGTTTATATAAATTATAAATGAAAAACGTACCAAAAATTGAATATAAATAAAATGATAATATATATAAAAAATTAATTATAAAAATGTCATTTTAATACTTGAAATAGTAAAAAAATGAAACTGTGCAAGATATTGTTGTATATCATAAAATAAAATAAATTTTATAAATATAATTATCCTTTTAATAATTTTTGCTATTATTAGAATAAAATATATTTGTAAAAATATAACATTAATATTGAATAATAATATTTATAGAAAACATCTACGTACATTTTAAATATAATATTATGGACATAATAATGCAGAATATGACAAAAAGCATTTTTAAACTATTATAGTTATTTAATGAATATTTCAGATTTTTATAGGACAATGAATAAAATAGATAAAAATATAAAACAATGTCTATTATGTGTGTGTAAAATAAAAACGTAAAATATGTCATAATAGGTCCATTGGTCGATATTTACCAATTTGTTGTATATTGAATATCATCCAACCATTCTTTTTAAATGGTAATCATAATTTTAAATCTTTTGACACGCATACCATATGATGAGTAAAATTGTTAAAATCGAGAGACGCTTCCGTAGTAAAAGTTACAGGAATGCAGCCAATTTTTAATGTGTCGATATACTGTATCGATACATTTACTTTGCTTATTATCTTTCTATCATGATAATTTCGTACTGCTTTAATCACGGGACAATGTTTTTCCAAAGCCCAATCTTCTATTCTTGTTAGTTGTTGAGTAATATTTGGATTCATTGTTGAAGTAACAACTTTTGTAAGATTTACAAAGCCTATATCATGTGATTGGCTAAATTCACAAAGTATGTAAAATATATAAAAAACATTACAAATATGTTAAAATTGTCTGTATATAATGTTAATATTATAAAAGACTTCAACAAATACTAAGAAGCATTTTATAAAATTGCATTTTTATATATATATTTATACATCTTATATTTATATTCTAATAATAAATAATATAACACAATTTTAAATAAAATTTAATAATTTTATTTAATTTTTTAGGTATTATTAGCATTAATACAGATTATATTTGAGCAAAGTATTGAGAGAGTATAAAATGATTAAAAGAAGAAACCAAATATAAAAAAATAACCAAATAAAAATAGAACAAATAAGAAGTTGAAAACAAAAAGAATAAGAAAAATAATATAAAAGAGATCGGTTTACGAGAGAAGGAAATAAAAATAGAGAAAGTAATAGAAAAGTGATTTAAATGCTACATATTTCAAAACCTGTTAAATAAGATTAGAAAATAAATGTAGCACAAAATGCAATTAAAAAAACAGATATAAGAATTATAGACGATATAATAAAATATAGGAAATAAATAAAGAGAATAAAAATTATTTCAAAAATTACTTTAAAGAATAACAAATCATGAAACAAAAATTAAAAAACAATGAATATGTATATATAATAAAGTAATAATGAAAAAACAACAATTACTTTCTCCAGAAACGGTTTTCATAGGAAGAGTAATGAAATTAAAAATAATTCTAGTAGAAGATCTAGAAGAATAGCGGAATTGTAACACTAAGAAAAAGACATTATGAAATAACGTCAGAAAAAACGAAAGGAAATAAGGGACATTATATAAAACTTCTATTATTTTACATTATTTGTTGTATAATTTTATCTTTTTGATATTATATTCTATATTGTATTACTCACATGTTATATGCATATAAACCTATGATTCTATGAAAAATTTCTTCGGTGAGAATATGTTGCATCATACGTAGTATAAAGGGTGCTACAATTTACATCAAAATTATGAATTAAATATATTATAAATATATATTTACTATAATGGTTACTTGTAAACATAGTGATTTTTTAAAGGAGAATTATATTGTAAATGTATACAGAGTAGTAATCGCATAAGAGTGAAATGGTTTTTATTGCCGCACCGTTTATCATTCTATTTTATCAATTGTCCGTTAATTCTTTTTTTTTACAAAGATAGCAAAACTTTAAAGGATTATTTAATTAATTCCCTCTACCTACATATGTGCGACTATTACTGAACACTTTGTGTGTGAGCGTGTGCGTGTTCGTTTGCGAGAGTATGTTTGCGTGTGCGTGTTCATTGCGTGACGTTGCGCGCGCGCGCGTGTGTGCGTGCGAGCGTCGCGCGTGAGCGTGAGCGTGTGTATGCGCGCGCGCATGTTACATTTACAAACTATTTCATTTTAAAATATCTATACATAGATTTTTTGAACAATTTATTTTAAGGAAAAACGTTTTAGATAGAAGTTGTATAATATCTTACAAAAAACAAGTGAACACTACTGACTTTTTCCTAAAGGATGATTGTTCAAGTCATTTGAAGATTATTTCTGTCTTTTTAAATGTATCTATCTTAATTTTTTTATAATTCAATATCTCTCAATATTCATTATCACAACAATATGTTGTAAGGATAAGATAATCATAAAGAGTATATTTTACTAGATATTCCCATACAGCACAGATTATTGCAATTATATTGCAGCAACGTTGCAATGTTGCAAGTTGCAATGCAACATTATAAAGACATTGCAGAGATATAGGTGCACAAAATTCCAGCACACTTGTAGCAACATGACATTAATATTTCGGAAATATTGCATGTAATCCAAATTCTATAATTTATATATTGTAATATATATACATATACCCAGCAAACACCAAGTTACAGCTATATAATTGTTAGTTGTAATTTTCCACTCAAAAATATAATACGTGTATTATAACAATTATATTGTTGAGTGGAAAATTACAACTAACAATTATATAACTGTAACTTGGTATTTACTGGGTATAATACTGTAATAAAATAATTTTTTGCAATATTGTACAATAAAAAATGTTAACGATAATCAATAATTTTATTATCTTCCAAAAAGCGGACATTTTAACATTGCTGCAATTCAACAGCAATGATGAAGCAACATTTTGCAGTAAATTTGCAATATTGCAATATTGCGGTGAAAGATTGTTGTAATGTTTTTGCAATCTAACGGTGTTGTATGGGTTTTATATCTTTGACACATTATTTTACATAAACGTAAATGTCTCACAAAATATTAATTTTTCGTTGATCTTGCCTGATAATGTTGTATATAAAATAATGAGAAAAATCAATATTTTTGCAAAAAAACCGTATGGTTTCTATGGAAATCTGTGGCTGCTAGTTGCAAATTACATACACGCACACATATATATTGTTTATATGTATAAATACTTTAAATATTAATTGAAGGATATGCATATAAATACGCACACTCGTACATACGTGTGTGCGTATGTGTGTGTGTGTGTGCACGCGCGCGCATGCGCGCGTGTTATGTATACTTTTGTAAAAATAATATTTAACTCTAAAGCCAGATCAAGAATTAATTATCTTTTAATTTTAAACATTTTAAAACATTAATAGTTAAAAATTTACGCGGACTATTTATATATATAAGCACCGTCCGTCTGTCTGTCTGTCTGACCGTGAACTACTTCCACATTTGTGGACTGATTTTCATCAAATTGGTACCAAAATTTCGCAAATTTTCCGGGGAGTGTGACGATGGTGATTTTTTGTAAGTTTTACGCCTCCACCCACGCACCCACCCACGCAATTGCATATTTATGGACCATTTTTTTTTGAATTGGCACTAAAATGTTGCAAATTTTTTGGAGATGACGACAATGCGGTTTTTTCAAGTGTTACACCTCCACCCACGCACCCATCCGTTCATCCACCCACGCGCATGCGCATTTATGGACCGATTTTCACGAAATTTCTAGCAAAATGTTGCAAATTTTTCAGAGAAAACTGCTGTGTGGTTTTTTATCCCACGCACGCATCCACCCACGCTTTCATACAATTATTGATTAATTTTTTTGAAATTGGTTATATATTTATATCTACATATATAAGTTGCAAATTTTTTAGGGAGTGCGATGAGATGGTGGTTCTTTAATTTTTTAATTTTTTTAACATAAAAGAGGCTATGTTTTCGCGAAAAAATATTTTTTGCAGATTTCTATGCCAGTGTGTTTCGAATGTTCCAAAATATCGAGAAATCATATTTAAAAAAAATTTTTGTATGTTAAACTTGCACCCACGCACTCACATAAATATTGATTTATTTTCGGTACCAAAATCTTGAAAATTTTTGGGGATGACGACGATGGTGGTTTCTTTTAGTTTTACACCCCCACCCACTCACGCACTCAAGATCGATTTTCACGTAATTGGTATAAAAATTTGCAACATTAAAGAAAATCTCCGAAATCTTTTACGACAAATTTATACAAAGTAAATTTATACAAAGTAAATGTACAAAGTTTTGTAAAATGAAAGGGCCGAAAAAGCTAGTTATATTGTATTACGTATACCTCTGATAGAATTGGGAATTTCCAATGAACTGTTGACTTGTGTAGGCCACATATAATAATCACCATCCAAATTGAAAGAGTAATGTTGATTTTGAACAACAAATAAATTCATTATTCGATAATCTCGAAAAGTCTATAGAAAAAAATAATTAATATATCGATATAACCGTTCCGCGAAGATACTTGCATTAAATACAAATACTAATATTATATATATACATTGACGTTACTTCATTATTAAAACAAAACATTTCCTCGTTTTGAAAAACACACATTGAAATAAATATAATAATGAAATCTATAATTTTTTGTATTAATATAATTAGCAAATATTACATATTTTTTAATTATATTGTCTCATGATATTATATTGCAGATTTCTCTTTATCAAATTTATTTAAATAAATATTATGTGTACTAGTTTCTGATTAGTTTATTTTATTTAGATTTCTCATAAAGAATTAAAAATATCTAATAAAGTGTTAAAAAATAAAAAATTTTAATAAATTGAATTATAAGTATATGTATGTAAATGTGTGAGAAAAAGTATTTTTTAAAAAACATTTGATTATTTTATATATTGCTAAATGCTTTTAAGGTAAGCGATGCGTATAGATTTTATAAAAAAGGATTTGACTTAAGAAAATCTTGGAATATGAATGCTTAAGTATTGTATTGTTTGCGAAAATGTCGGTGCGAGATAGCATTGAAAATATTTAGAATAACCTCACTGACAGCATACGTTGCAAACAATGTAATAAGACCATTTTTAAACCAAAAATCCGATATTAATGGATTGTTCATCATGTTATTAAACCATTGCTGTGTCACTTTACGTCCTACTAATTGAGCTACTTCGATTTTCTGAGCAATAGGATATAAATTTTCATCGTAGATGATATCTGTTTCCCTGAAAGTTATAATTAAATGTTAAAATTGAGAACTTTTAGAGAAAATACAACTTTATTTTTGTTACAATATTTTAATTTAATTGTTAGATGTACGATCTACAAACTCATGGGTACAATTTAGCAAATTAGTATTGTAAATCGTATCAAATAATATTTTCTAATTTACAATATGGAACAACGATCTATTTATGTGTATATCGTTCGACAAAAAACAATAGTTTAAAATAAATAAAAAATGTCATTTCTTTTATAGCTTTATTACAGTTTTAACATCTACCTTAGGGTATATAATTTAGCACACATATTTTACTCTTTATGCATATGTATTAAAACAGTAAATTTTAACTTTGTAATAATATGAATAACCTTAATTCTACACTAAAAGTGGTTGTTTTCGCAATTCCTTATACTTTAAACTTAAACGTTTACAGAAACAAAAGATATACATGTTTTTAAATTTATAATTTTGCATACAAATATAATTTTATTTTTAATGCAATTTGAAGCACTTGTACTCACCTATAAAGAACAAGTCCGAAAACTATCATGTCTTTGTCATGGAAATTTGGAATTGCAACATGATCCACCTTTGATTTCAATGTGTACCAATATCTCCATTCATAGTCAAGAAACCACGTGATAAGATCAGCTACATGTACTGCAAATTTTATGTGAAATCGAGATTCGTCTCTGCACCACATGTTAATGATTTCAGTTATGTGATCATGTAGGAATAGGTAATTAGAAACAATCATTGTTGCAAGATATGGCGACATTACAGGTGTGGTATCAAAGTGTCTCCATAAAATGTTCTCATTTTTTTCCGTATTTTGCAATGGCATATTTGACAAAGCCGTGCATTGCTTACATCCTATAGAAATGTTAAAGGTTGCTTCTAACAAAAATTCTGTTGATCCCGACATGGAAACGATCGTCGGGCGCTTATTATCTGGAAATGCGTAGTAGCTATCCAACTACATTTCAAAGAACATAAATTAACGAAATATTTTTGACAAGCATAAAGATATTGGGAATTGAAAACTGCATAAATGTCATATGCATCAATGCATATTATTTTATGTCTCTATTATATATATTATTATAATAATAAATATAAAGATTATTATAATAATAAATATAAAGATTGTTTGCCTTTAGATTTAAATTCCGTGATATATAATAATTTTTGGGACATTTAATACATAATAGTATATTAATTACAAAATAGTATATTAATTAGAATGTCTTATGTAATTGCATATTGTACTCTTTTTATTAATATTTTACTCTTTTTATTAATATATTGTACTTTTTTATATTAATTGATATTAGTAATTTACTTACACAGTTTTTTTGACGTCGAATGTTTTGAAGCCTCGAGCAGCAGTACCCAAATATTTTATATTTAAAATGTAATTTCCTGGTGATAACTCATCCATAAAGGAAATATCAATTGTGTCTTGTTTAATATTATATGTCGGTTTATAAATAATATTATTTTCATGATATTTTGCCAAATTTGTAAATAAAACTATATTGTTAATACATAATTGTTCTGAATGTAAATATATGTGTTGCGTTTTCTTCAAAATGTTTATGCTGATATTATATTCCACATAGAAAATATTTCCTTCAATAAATGTTGAAAGCATGATATTGTAATGCTTTGGTATTACATATTCTGATGGTTGATAGCATAAAGATTCATTACGAGTGAAAGCCGTCGCAGCGATAAAAATTAATCCGCTACTTAATAATAGTTTTAAAAATATCATTATGTCCGCAAAAAGGAATATTTATTTCAGATCTGTAAAACACACTGTGGACAAAATATAAATAGAGAAATTAAATATAGCTTTGATGCATTTTTAAATCATTCTTGTATATAAACAAGAAAATAAATAGAAGAAGTATATAAAAATTATTAATTAGAAAACCATCTTAATTAGTAAAATATGATATAGTTAGGAAGCAAGGTGCAAATTTCTATTTGCACAATTTTTTTTAAATAAAATTATATATTTTGGATAAATAAATGTGCTATTGAGCAAAGCGCTGTTGTTTGAGTGTTAACTTAAATATTAAATTTTATTCAAAAAACATCGTAAAACGTTTCGACCCTTACTCCTCTTCGTTATGTACAATTCTACGGGTCCTCTTCGTTATGTACAATTCTACGGAAAACGGAATATATTATAAGATTAATTTCTACATTTCAAGTGAAATTCACCTACTATTACATTAAATTTCAAAAACCTACATTACATATGCCAAACGGACTTACATTAAATATTTCAGTTTGGACATGATATCGTGTATATTTCATTTTGAATTTGAATGTCTCGAGATGTGTGTACATTGTGATATCTTAATTTATTCAAACAATTAACTTCCAATTAGATTATTAACATATATTTTACATATAGAAAACAACGTGTATTATTTCATGTGATGCAAGGAGTTTTTTCAATGTGAACCTTTAACTCTTTACTCACTTAAACTGCTGTTCGTTAATGACGCTCCCAACCATCCTGTTCCTGTTCTAGTTTGAAATTAAGTTGGGTGAGGATAGGTAACTTATATTTATATATTTTCGTCTTAATTATTTTAAGGAAAAAGGAGAAAGGAGAAAGATGTCACGCTCATTATAAAGAATTTTTGACTGGTTCAAAAAACCGACTTTTTCGGGAAGATTTTTAAATTTTTATTCGAACCATTCGTATTCACAGAAAAAAATCATAGTATATGGACTGATAGATAAAGTTTTTTTTACTCTCACACCCAAGTTTTTACCAAAAGAACATTACTAATATAATTAACATTTTGATGGAAAATTCTTATTCGTTAGATTTTATATTTAATAACATTAATACGATTTACTAACATCTACTAAAAAGGCAAATGAAAAATATAGAATCGAAAGGGTCTGAATAGCTTTGTTGGTAAGAGCAGTCGCCTGGAAAGTGAAATACGCGAGTTCGATTCCCGCTTCAGCAACTTTTCGGATCTATATTTTTCTCCATATGTAAGTTCGAGATTAATTTATATGGAACTTAGTAATCTCAAACCAAGAGATACAGTTCCAAAGAATTAATTTTTCGCGCTTGGGTTCTATTGACCGATTTAAAAATTTCATATTTATATTATTATTAATACGAGACTTAAATATTTATTTGACAAACCAATTTATTCGTTTCTTCACAAACGTAAAAATAATAATGTAACATACTTTGTAACCCCATTTTCAGATTCACATTTTAAACAGATCAAACAATGCACACAAAAATTCAATTTTTGCATAGCCTTTTATTCAACTGACAAATTGAATAAATATATAAAAGCACATAAAAGAGGATAGCATCAACAAATTCGCGCATAATAATGTGGTATATAAATTAAAATGTTTGGAACGTGATGCTACATACGTAGGGTAAACCAAATGACAATTAGCAACCAGAATAAAAGAGCATAAAAAAATAATAACCAAGAGTCAGTGATTAACAAACACAGGAGCAAATACAATCATAATTTCGATTGGGACAACATAAAAATTTTAGATGAAGAACCTACATATTACATGAGACTGACATCTGAAATGATACATATAAAAAAACAAGAAAATGGTATAAATAAACAAACTGACACGGATAAACCACCAGAATGTTATTTACAGATTATAGAATATTTGGAGAGAGAATAAGACATGACGACGTCTCTTTCTCCTTTCTCTTTTTTTCTTAGAATAATTAAAACGAAAAATATAAATATAAGTTACCTGTCCTCGCCCAACCTAATTTTAAACTAGACACAACAGGAATAGGATGGTTGGGAGCGTCATTAACAAACAGCAGTTTAAGTGAGTAAAGAGTTAAAGGTTTACATTGAAAAAATTCCTTGCATCACATGAAATAATACACGTTGTTTTCTATAGATAAAATATGTTAATAATCTAATATGGAAGCTAATTGTTTGAATAAATTAAGATATTACAAAGTACACACATCTCGAGACATTCAAACTCAAAATGAAATATACACGGTTTTCATGTACAAGCTGAAATATTTAATGTAAGTCCGTTTGATATATGTAATGTAGGTTTTTGAAATTTAATGTAATAGTAGGTGAATTTCACTTGAAATGTAGAAATTAATCTTATAATATATTCCGTTTTCCATAGAATTGTATGTAACTGAAGAGGACCTAGTAAGGGTTGAAACGTTTTACGATGTTTTTTGAATAAAATTCAATGTTTAAGTTAATGCTCAATCAACAGCGCTTTGCTCAATAGCACATTTATTTATCCAAATTTTATTGATTTTGTGAGCCTTAATATATTTAAATTAAAATATGTATACATATGATTTTATTTAAAAAATACGCGCGCGCGCGCGCGCGCGCGTGTGTGTGTGTGTGTGTGTGTGTGTGTGTGTGTGTGTATTTAAGTGTTGCACATATTGTAATTGTCAGTAATATACAAAAATTAAATTGACAACATGTATATTTTCAATAAATAACTATTTTCATTGTCAAAAAATTATATAATAATAAAATATAAAAGTTAGAATATAACGATTTATAGTATATATATGATATATTAGTTGTTTATACATATATGATGTATTATTTGCTTGAAGCAAATTACATTTATAAACACAAGACCAGCTATTTTTACATGAATATAAACCTGTGTGCTTATTCGAAATAAGAAGGCAGTAACATTAAGAAAGACTAAACAGCGGTGATATACAGAAAGAGAGAGAACATGTTTATTAATATTTTCCGTTAAAGGTCTGTATTATCTCTTCTCTTAAATTATGTATTATAAACTCTAAACGGACAATCACTGAGAATAAAATAATCAACATAAAAACAGGTTTACTAGTTCTGGGACATCCCGTACATAATGGTTTTTTTTTATATATTTCAGATTGAACGCATCAAAATAGATGTGTTAACAATTGCTTCAAATCTATAACATTATGGATTTCTTCATTCGATTGACCACTAGAATGTTCTATCATATTTTACTCTATAATTTATAATTATTAAATCATTATTATAATGTTTAATTGCATTGACTCAATTTCTCATCATAGCTTTATTTTGTTATTAAGTACTAAAGCTATAATCTTTATTAATGTTTATTTTATTAAATCTTTCTAATGGAGATAATAATTTTTTATATACTCTCATCATCAATATACATGTAACATTATTGTGTTTAATTATAAAAGTAAAAATTAAATTTTAATCATTAAATTTAATTCAAATATCTGAAAATGTTTCAACTTTAATGAAGTACCTTATTAAATCGATATAAATTATATTGTTTATGCTTTTTTAATTTATTATTAACTTATGCGTTTTGACTATTTTTTATAAAATATTTTATGTAAAACATTTAACGTAAATATATAATTCTACGTAAAATATTACGTAAAATATTCTATTTCTAACTTATATGAGTAATATAATACTATTTATTTCTAAGTGTTATATTTATATTTATTTCTCATTTAACAAAATTAATTTGTTCACATTTTTTATAATACATTACACTTATCTTGATGATTGAAAGCAATTATGGTCTCTTTTTTTATTTTCTTAATTATATACATAATTATCTTTAACAACAAAAATTAATATTTGATTCTTCTTTATTGTTATAGTTATTTTACTCAGTATTAGCATAATTTAAAAATTATTTTAAATATTAAAATACACAGATATTTTTTTATAAAAAATACAAGTACAATATTATAAAAATATGAATACGACATATTTTAGAAAACAGAATTTTAATAATCTAGTAATGAAAGAACAATTAAAAGTGTTTGTTATA